AGAGCTGCCAGAAAACTGCATGGAAGCAGCCTGAAATCTGTCAGATAATGTCATTATATACACAGGGGAGGTCTTGAAACATTTATCAGTCCTAGCACTGCAGTAGGAGTAAGGAAGATTTATATTCAAATGTGATGTTAACTAAAAAAAAGCAGTGGAAAAAACCTGCATTAGCAATGTCTCAGATTGGTATGCTCAGGGAACTAAAACCCACTTTTGTGCCCATTGTTTCTCCATTAGTCATCCTGAAAGTATTCAACGTCTTCTGTTGCTGAATTACTTCAAATGCCTACAAGAAAGGTCTCAACTCTTGTCACTTCCTAGGCAGAGATGCAGGTTGAATTTTGGCTCTAGAAATTCATTCCCAAGACACAACGAGCTAGTCTTTTTAGAGGCTTTTGACCACTTATCTAATTTGTGAATTGTACAGACTTAAAAAGGAATGCTCTTACTATCACGGGCCGCAGCATCGAGATGAAAGTACAGAATCGACCGCGCTCCTCAATCAGAGCTTTTCTGACAGCTTGCTTCTCAGTTTCTTCAAGCAGCAGGTACTTATCGTTGACATCTTGTAAAGCACTATCCAACTGGGGCTGAATGTCACCCCGTCCTGTATGCAGGAAACAATCAACAGTACATTTTGTCAGAACTGTGGATATCCCTAGAGGAAGACCTTATTTTCAGCCCAGCACTGCTGCCAGATTGTGCTTCTGCAATTCATATCTCAACCAACATTTTCCCTTAATTCAAATTAGTAAGGGTTTGCATTTCACAGCATTTCTTTTTTTCCCATTTTGCATAGAATAGAAATCCAGTTCAAATCAAAAGGTTTCAACAAGCCAAAGACAGCATTTCACGTAACGACTTTCTCAAAGTGTTAGCTGTAGAAACCCTTCATAGAAACTCTTCATAGAAACCCTTGCTGAAAATTGACATTTTATTAACTGGGAGAGTATCAATCACTAACCCCAGCTATACTTCCTTCCTACTTTTGTGCTTAGCAAGGTCCTAAAGACAGCTTTGTGAAGTCACTGAATGAATGAATCAATCTCCTATATGAGATGGTGTTAAGGACATGATACTAGTCATTGGACCACTGGATTTAAGAGCTCTACACAACCAACTGCTAAAACAATTTTCTTCATTCCAAAGTTCAAAACAAACAGAAGAAAACTATCAGCATCTCAAATACATATTAATGTCTAGTATTCATTTATGAAAATAAAAAAGAAATCAAATGTTTTGCAATCAAAAGGCTTCACTGTGTTAAATATAGCCAACTCATAATATCAAAAATTTCTCCGACAGTTAAGTACATTATTCTTCACCAACTGCTTACTCTGCATCATGCCAAAAACCTTATCCCTCTAGGAATGATGAGCTGCTGCTTAGCCATACTATTACTGAGCAAATAACACTGCCGTTGCAAGATGCTTTCATGCAGCTTACACCTCTAAATATTTTAAAGCACCTCAGTTGCGTAAATTTGTCTTAAATCTCCCAGAAAGACCAACACATGCAAATTAGGTACCCAGGTACATATCCACACCATTCTTGCTAAATACCAGGAAGACAACATTGAAAAACGGTGGGTGAGTTACAAGCAGCCACCCACAATCAATTTTTATGGACAATATCCTTTCTGCATGGTGAATTTAAAGCTATGAGCAAGAGGAAGAAACAAATCTCTTTATGTGTGTATTACACAAAGCAGACGACTCAAGGTCAGGGTTACAAAGGAAAACCTTTGCCTTATTATCATGTGTATTTCTTCAGTGCTCCTGTGTGAGGCAAAGTCATCAGCTCTCCCGCACCGATACAGAGCCAGAGCCGCAGGAAAGCGAGCAGTGACGGAAGCAAAGAGAACCATGCTGGCTTAGCGGCGTTACGGACTGGATGCATCCAAACCCCCTCTGTAGAGAGTTAGACATAGTCCAGATACAACTGCAGAGATACCCGCAAGCAGAGCTCTGTGACCGATCCTCGAAGTGCACACCACCATGGTCGCCATCAAAGCCACCTGGGTACCCAACTGCCCACAGCAACACCCCGTGCCTGATCCTGTAGATCAGGCCGAGTGGTGCAATGTGGTCATAAAGCTGTTCTGGAAGTAAATAACTTCAACAATAGCAGAGTCTGAACTTGCAGTCACTTGCTCTCTCTCTCAAAGACAGCATCTGCCAGAAACAAGTTATAGAAGAGTTTTGGCTAACTCCCTGAAGATCCTGTGCCTTCTTAGGACACAAACTGTGTCCTTCTGCTTGAAGACTGTCCTGCACATTTCAGGCCCTTCCTCATATTCTTCTTTGCTATCAGATGCAGTGATTAAATATTTTATACTTCTCTGGAGCTGTTCTTCCAAATTCCTTATGAAACTAAGACTTGCGTTATTGCTCAGACCCCTTGTTTAAAGAACTGTCTGAAAATTATAACAGGTGAAATAGTCACCTGTTGGTTCAAACCTAGATACTGGCTCACTGTCCGGGATGTACCAAATGCAAAATATATTAGCTGCAAACTAAATCACACACTCATTAGTTCAGCTCTGGAGAACCACTGTAAATGTTCAGCTGCTCCACCATATGACAACATACTTAATGCAGGAAATCCTTGTAAAATGTATTCCCTTACGCAGTGAGAAGACACACATTTAGAAAGCAACGGGACTCCATTGACAAAGTGAGTTCAACTGTAGTGAATATTGGTAATTTATGTGGATCTCACAGAGCACCACGTCTTGGACCAGAGCAACAAGAGCGCCCAAAACATGGGGCAAAAATTAACCTCATTCACATCTGTGTAGCTCATTGAATTAAACAAAGATATCAGGATAATGTTCAAGCTTTCACCGTTTGGCAAAACCGTGTGTAAAGCTGCATCACTCTCCAGCATCCTCTGTACCTCTACAAAGTACGTATCCTATATAGTGATGGGACAAGGGGGAACAGCTTTAAACTGAAAGAGGTTAGATTTCTGTTAGATGTAAGGAAGAAGTTCTTCTCTGTGAGCGTAGTGAGACACTGGAACAGGTTGCCCAGAGAAGCTGTGGCAGCCCCCTCCCTGGAAATGTTCAAGGCCAGGCTGGATGTGGCTCTGAGCAACCTGGTCTGGTGGGAGGTGTCCCTGCCCACAGCAGCGGGGTTGGAACTAGATTATCTTTAAGGTCTCTTCCAACGCAAACCATTCTGTGACTCCATGGCATGATTCTATGAAGTTTCTGTTTTATTCCTTTAAGTGAGTCAGGACATTAACAGCCATACCATCTCCTCACTGCTACTTTCCCAGACCTGTTTTTATGCTGTGGCTCTTGGGCACCTGTGTAGCACTGGAAACACACAAGCTGCCCAGGGTGTAATTCAGAGCAGGAAAGAAGCTTAGATGAATCATTTGGATGAGGCTCTGAAGTCAGATGTTTACATGGCGTGAAGACAGCTCTTTCCTGACATCTCCTTGCAACTCATCTTTTAAGGAGCAGGAAAGCTTTATTAACATCCTTTGAAAGCTCCATAATACAGACATCAATCTAGCACGTCTTTTGAAATCAGGCATAACTCTTCCTACTCCCTGAATCGCCAGCTGCCTCCCACGGCACACGTCTGAGAATCTGAGGGATGAGATCTCTGCCCACTTTAATCAGCTTCCTTCTCTAAGCAGAGCAGAACACAGCCCCTCAACAGCGCTGCTACACCCAGAGCACAGCGGGGATGTGAGGGCCAACCGCCAAGCACCTCTGCTCCTCACCAGTCTTGCGTCTCTGCTAGTTTGAATCCACTACTTATCTCAGAACGGAACATCAACCACTGGAAAGACATGCAGCTCTTTCCCACTTTGAATTACGAGGGGAAGGCCATTTGTCTTAAGGCATCCCTGACAACTGATTGCACAGTTTCTGCTGTGGACATAATGCACAATTTCACAAGGAATTTCGGCAACTGATTATTCTCTCCAGCCCACATTCTCTGGCCTTTCGGTTACCCGTTAGGAAATATCTTAATGACAGAAAAGAGTTCCAGAACGGCCTCATCACGGAGCAGCTGCAAAAATGCACCTGGAAGGACCCTCCTGCCCCAGCTGCAGACAGGTCTGAATGACCCACCAAAGCAATCAGAATTAGCAATGGTCAAAAGCATAAAACGTAGTCTCTTGTCTGCAGCCAGCCAGATATGGACATGATGTAGGGATGGTTCTGCAGAGCACGTCTGGTTGCACTCAGAAGAACAAATCAACAACTTGTAAACCAAGGAGAAATTCAAATTCACCCTTTCTTAAAGTGGAGCTTTGGTGTTGCAGAGAGGAGCAGAAATGCAAGACTAGAACTTGCGGACTGACTTCTCCAACAGCACCATGCTCCAGCAGCCTGAGGACTTGTGGCCTGACAATCGGCAAGTAACAGCTAATGAACTGCAGAGAGATGAAGTGCTTCTCATCAATATCAACGTGAATTCACTGCTATTCCAAGGACAATCTTAATACGTTAACTTCAGAGCAGGTGCTTCACATCATTACTAAGATGTGCAAGAGCTTTAAAGGACCAACATGTATTAGAAACTCAGTTTGACATTGTTCTGGGTGAATCCTGGCTGAAAGCTTCATGTAGCTTCTTAAATAATCATTGATAGAAAAGAACTTTAGTCAAGGAAACTTGTTAGAGAGAAAGAAAAGGTAAATCTAATTTTCAACTTAATTTCATGTCTATATTTTATAAGACAACTTAAACTAGCAAAGCCGTCAGCAATAATGAAGGAGAACAATAATTTTTAAAGGCTCTCAGTGCAAGTGTGACTGCTAAAGTTAATGCTGTTATTGACAAAGTAATGTAGGAAATACTGGTGAAATTATTTTCCACATTCTCACTTAAAGAGTGCTCTTTTGCAGTTTTTAGGTGTCTGCACAGACCTTGAATATTCACTACTGAACACTTTGGAAAGCGGCAGCATTTACACCGTATGAAACAATGCTGAGTACACCTCTGCTTGTACAAACCAAAGCAGGCTCCAAGTCACTCATTCCCAAATCACCTTCTTTACAAGAGCATACTCGTTTCATCTGCCAAGGAGAACGGCCCCTCTGAGTTCTGCACAGTAAAGCCAACAAATAAACTAATATGGACCTAGGCTGAGAATGGGAGAATTCTGCACCGCTTGCAGAAAGGTGGAAAACCTTATTGGTGGGGTTAACTCCATATCCCTTCAGCAACCAGATCTGAGTCTTTCTCGTGGCTACTGGAGATCTGAATCAGCTGCTAATGTTCAAAAGTGCTAAGCTGTCCCTTAAAAGTTCCAAGTTACCAAAGGAAACTTCCAGGAAGTTTCAAATTGAATCACAAACCAGGAAAAACACAAAGTGTAGTTTCAAAAAAAGTGACAAACAGCAGGCACCACAGTGCCAGCTCCAGGAGCTGAGCTGACGGGCCTTGGTTGAGGGTCTCCCAGTCTAACCAATCCAGGCTTCTCCGAAAGGCAACATCTACATCATTACACCTACAAGTGGAGGTACGATTATTTCTCTCAAATTCAGAAACACTGCGTTTCATTCACAAGGTGATCTCAAGGCAGCCGCTTTAAATTTGCAATACAACTGAAACAACACTCCAACTGAAATAGATTTGAG